CTGAGACCTGGTCTGTTGAAAGCCCGTTTGACACTTGATCCCTTTATCAGCGGTATTAGGTAACTTTCCCAGAATTGTGCAATCCTCACATCTGATGATGTCTTCATCAAAAGGCCAACTGCTGTTCTACTGGGGTCAACCCTCCCCACCCGCCTGCCTAGCTCTCCCCCTTTGGCAGCACCCCTTGGGTCTGCAGGGCTGACCTAGAAATTCATCTAGAGAAATTTGCTGAGATCAGTTTTGATGAAAACTGAGACAGCTCAGCAGCCTGCCATTCAATCATTCAACAGAAATCTGTGGAACTCTCACTCCGTGCCATGCCCTGTGCCAGGCTCCCATCCTCTGTGAAAGGTGTGATGTCGGGGAGCTACATGATCCTATGGGGCACACAGTTTGGGCATCTGACCCAGTCTGGGGGAATGTGAGAAGTGGGCAGGGGAGGCTTCCTGGAGGAGGTGACATCTAAGTGGGATTCTGAAGGCTGAGGAGTCAAGCAAAGAGAGTAGGGGTAGATGAGGGTATTTGAGGTAGAAGAAAGCATATAAAAGACCCAGAGGCTGGGGGCAGGACAGAGCACATTCGGGGGCACGGCGTGTCATTCATCATGTCTGGAATTTGGATTTGGAGGTGGTGTGGAAAAGATGGAGCTGGCAAGGTAAATGGTGTCAGTTTATGAAGGGACACTCACCGGCATGCCAGCATTCCAGGTCACTCTCCTTTTGAATGGATCCCCTCCTATTCCATGCAACTTCGAGAAGTTCTGACCTTCCCCAGTATTTCCGAGGCTTCCGAGGGCTGTTGTCTACGTGGCCTGGTCATTGCCCATCAGATCTCTCCCAAAAGCTGGTCAGCATGGTGGTGGCATAAACCCACCTATGAGAGCCAAAGAGTCAGCTATAGTTGTCAGCTATGAGGAGGTTGCCAGCTGTTGCTGCCCAATCCCAGAAGGCCCATGTTTTCTCCTTCCCAGTCCTGGGCGTGGATCCAGGCTGAGCCCGAGCCTCTCCATCGGGACCCCCAGAAGTTAACTCTTCAAGCTAGTGGGTAGCACAGCTGGAATCTCGACTCAGGCTCTCTGGTAGCACAGCCTCGCTCTGGTTAAAGCTCTGAGGTCGGTTCACAGAGCCAGGGAGGGGAATTGGGGGATGCGTGGACCGCAGGTCATCTGCCAGCCCTCACCCCATCCCCTAGGTGCCCCAACCTCTCATGGAGCCCCACCTCCCCTCTTTAGCATGACCTCTCCTAAGCCCCTCAACTGCCTCCTCACCCATAAAAGTGGCCCCTGATAGCCCTACTTGGTCCACTAGGACCCCACCCCTTGTGGCAACGGCTCCCAGAATAGGGCTGGACCCCTGATCCCAGCTGTGGCTATCAAGTTCCTTCCTGCGGACTTTGGAATCTATGGGGGGCATGTTCATTCATGCTGGGAAACCCCACTTGCCCTGGTGCTAAACCTGTAATCTGTGGACTCTAACCCGGAAGGCAGTCCTGTTCTGCCTGCACCTGGAAGCACAAGCAGCTTGACGGCAGAGTGGGAGGAGCAAAGAGTGAGGGAGCAGCCCCGTCTCTAGGGCTTCTTTGTTCCCTATCCCTGGCCTTCCAAGGCCAGCGAGGTCCCTTCTACTTTCCTGCTCTTGGGTTCCGTGAGATACCCCTGTATTTGTATAACAATTCTTAATTTTGGCTCAAGCCAGCTCAAGTGGGTCTTTTACTTGCAACCAAAGAGCATTAGGTACACGGTAAGAGCTCCAAATTAAGGGACCATTTACTTGTTCATCTTCAACTTTTGAGAGTGAAATGAGGCGCTGTTAGTGATTACACTGGGACTACAGGTATAAACTGGGATAACGCAGGCAAACCAGGACATCTGGTTCCCCTATCTGTAAGTGAAAAGAAAAACACACAGATCACTTTCATCTCCTTTTGTTCTTCAGGCAATCTGGGAGGGCGTATTAGGCGGGGGTTTTCATTTTTCTCTCTGAGACAAAGTCCGTGGCAGAAGCTGGTCCGAGGTGGCAGGGTTGGAGGGCGCGGTGGCGATCTGGAGAGGCTCAGGCCCAAGAGTGGACGTGTTTTCTTTCTTGCCTGGTTGATGTGGAGGCGGAAAGCTGATTCTGGCTGCTGAAGAAGGTCAGGGCTGTGTTTCCCTTCCTTTCTTCTTGATAGATGAATGGGAAAAGGCCTGCTCTTTGATATGTGGATTTTCGAAGGCCAAGAGGGTTGGTGCCATTCCAGGAATATACTATTTTGTGGGCGGGACAGTGGGCAAGGACCTGAGGGAAGGAGTCAAGGGAGGCCTCAGAACAGCCCAAGTAGCCAGATGGCTGGAGGTCTCAAGAGCTCCAAGTGGCCAGGCTTGGGCCCCTGCCCGCATCTCCAGCCATGGTACTCGTAGGGCTGCTGCTGCTGCTGCTGCTGCCCTTGCTAGTCGGCACTCGCCTGCTGTGGGGCCAGTGGAAGCTCAGGAGCCTCCACCTCCCACCTCTTGTCCCCGGCTTCCTGCACCTGCTGCAGCCCAACCTCCCCGTCTATCTGCTTGGCCTGACTCAGAAACTCGGGCCCATCTACAGGCTCCGCCTCGGGCTGCAAGGTGAGCATCTGCTCCCTCCCTCACCCCACAGCGGTGTGGAGGTGGGGCCCTCTCCCTGCTGACACCCTGCTTTTCCTCTCCCCCAGATGTGGTGGTGCTGAACTCCAAGAGGACCATTGAGGAGGCCCTGATCAGGAAGTGGGTGGACTTTGCCGGCAGACCCCAGATACCATCCTGTAAGGGGTGGGGGGCATTTCTTGATGGAAGAAGCAGGGGCTATGGGAGGCAGGGAAGGTCAGGCCCGTGGCTTCCTTGGTCAGTTCGACTCCCTGCCCCCAACCCCTACTCACAGACCAGCTGGTATCTCAGCACTGCCAGGACATCTCACTGGGGGACTACTCCCTGCTCTGGAAGGCCCACAAGAAACTCACGCGCTCAGCCCTGCTGCTGGGCGTCCGCAGCTCCATGGAGCCCCGGGTGGAGCAGCTGACCCAGGAGTTCTGTGAGGTGAGGCTCGACTCCCACAGTTGGCCCAGGTCAGCTTCACCCCTCCCGGCAGCCTCCCTATTTAGTTCATGCTGCTTCTCCTCAGCGCATGAAAGCCCGGGCAGGTGCCCCCGTGACCATCCAGAAGGAATTCTCTCTCCTCACCTGCAGCATCATCTGTTACCTCACCTTTGGACACAAGGTCAAGGTTCTCTTGCCCTCACATAGGCTTGGGCCCCAACCCCCCGCCCAGCCCCTCCCGTACCCTCTCCTGGTCCTGAACCGAAAGGATTCCCTCCTTTTCTGGCAGGAGGACACCTTAGTACATGCCTTTCACGACTGTGTCCAGGACTTGATGAAAACCTGGGATCACTGGTCCATCCAAATTTTGGACATGGTTCCCTTTCTCAGGGTGAGGAGGTGAAGCCCCGACACACCTGGTCCTGGGAGACAGGGCGGAGGTGGGCATAGGCTCCCTTCCCAGCGGCTAAGCTCTCTTGCTGTCTGCCCCAGTTCTTCCCCAACCCCGGGCTCCGGAGGCTGAAGCAGGCCATGGAGAACAGGGACCACATTGTAGAGAAGCAGCTGAGGCAGCACAAGGTGGGAACCGTGCGTGCACCGGGCTCCTCCTCAGCTCACAGCAGTGATGCTACTGCCCCAGAGCTAGGCAGCTTCTTTGGCGCCCCACCAGTCCTGGACCTGCTGCCCCCTGCTGAACACTGCCCCCCGCCCCCCGAAGCCAGGCACTCAGGCTGGCTCCTCCTCCCCTCTCCAGGAGAGCATGGTGGCGGGCCAGTGGAGGGACATGACGGACTACATGCTCCAGGGGATGGGGAAGCAAAGAGTGGAAGAGGGCCCCGGGCAGCTCCTTGAAGGGCACGTGCATATGTCCGTGGTGGACCTTTTCATCGGTGGCACTGAGACCACAGCAAACACCCTTTCCTGGGCTGTGGCGTTCCTGCTTCACCACCCTGAGGTACGCCCTGGAGGCAGGCGGAAGGCTCCTTCCTGGCAGCTTGGCCAGGGCAGCGGGAACCCAGCTCGCTGAACCCGCCGCGGGCTGTGTTGGGAGGGGGGTTGGGGGGGAGTGAGTCTGGGGCGGGCTGGGAGGGGGTTCTCCTACTTGGCACAGAGTCTCCGGTGAGCTGCTCCAGGGAGTGGTGGGAGGCTGGGCAGCCGTGGGTCGGCCAGCGGCAGGGCTTGGGCCCCGGACCTCGGGCTTGCCCCACTTTCCCAGATTCAGCGGCGACTGCAGGAGGAGTTGGATCGCGAGCTGGGCCCCGGAGCCTCGGGCTCCCGAGTCCCATACAAGGACCGCGCTCGGCTGCCCTTGCTCAACGCCACCATCGCTGAGGTGCTGCGCCTGCGGCCCGTCGTGCCCCTGGCCTTGCCGCACCGCGCCACGCGGGCTAGCAGGTGACTCCCGAGGGGGGAGGGCCGAGTGGCAAAGGCCCCAGCGGGGTCCTGGCGGGCCTCTAACTTAACCCTACCCCTCAGCATCTTTGGCTACGACATCCCCGAGGGCATGGTTGTCATCCCCAACCTCCAAGGTGCCCACCTGGACGAGACCGTGTGGGAGCGGCCGCACGAGTTCCGGCCCGGTGCGTGGCGGGGCGGGTGCCCGCGGCGCGGGGGCGGCGGAGGCCGAGTGCAGGCGGCCGCTGAACTGCAGGTCCGTCCTTCCGCCCGCAGACCGCTTCCTGGACGCGGGCGCGAACCCCAGCGCGCTGGCCTTTGGCTGCGGGGCGCGCGTGTGCCTGGGCGAGCCGCTGGCGCGCCTCGAGCTCTTCGTGGTGCTGGGGCAACTGCTGCAGGCCTTCACGCTGCTGTCGCCCGCGGGCGCCCTGCCCTCGCTGCAGCCCCATCCCTACTGCGGCGTCAACCTCAAGATTCAGCCTTTCCAGGTGCGGCTGCAGCCCCGGGGCGGCGGAGGCCGGGGCGTGCGCGAGCGCCAATGACCAGTGACGGAGCCCGGACTCACTGGCCTCGGTTTCTCCTTTTATTGCTCCCGTACAAACCCCTTCCCTCCCCCCTGTAAACATGGTGCTGTGAGATCGCGGGTGGAGAAGGCTTCCTCCGGTGTTTGGATGGTGAAGGTGGCCCTCGGCTCTTCTCTGAGCGCAACCCCTCAGTGCTCGGCAGTCATAGTAGGGCGCTGGAGGGGTGAGCAGCGGCTCAGCCTCCCCTGCCCGGGGGCCGGTAGCTTCTTGGTCTCAGCTTCATTTCCGTGAAGGGCACGGAGAAGTCAAAGCCCTTCCAGTAGTACCAGCTCACTCCCTGGGAAGGGGTTGTCGAGAGAGAGAGTCAAAGCCTGACATCCCATCTGCTCCCACCTCTGCTCCCCTCTGGCGAGATGGTTCCCACAAATCCATCAAGGATCCTCCCTCCCTTTATCCTTCTTAAACCCTCAATTACAAAGGACTGAGGCTGAATCCTGAGCTGTCCCTTTACATCCAATAAATCATCTCCTCGAGAAAACTTGCAGAGACTGGCATTACTGTTCCATTTCACAGACAAGGGCCCTGGGGCGCTGAGCGGCTCAGTAACTTGTCTTGTCACACTGTGCGTCACAAACACCCAGGTGGGCTGAGCCCCCGCTCCGTGCTGCCTCCTGGACCTCTCACCTGGTGGTCCACTGTGCTCCCGTAGAGCCCGTTGAGGTTGGCATAGTGGCAGTTCTTATACCACCAGGCCCCTCGGTAAGAGACGGCACAGGAGATGAGCAAGTTGTTGGGGTCTCGGTCACGGGCAGAGAAGACACTGCCGCTGTGGTAGCTCATGGAGTCCCCTGGGCAGGGCGTGGAAGGCGCAGTGAGGGCCTCTCCTCCCCATTCCCACCCCGTGCCTGCCCCCCACCCCCAGGCCCACCCCTCACCTGCAGTGCCGTGGTAGCCTTCCAGGTGGAGGCGGTAGTACTCATCGGCCGAGTCTACTTGGAAGGAGTCGTACTGGGCAAACACGGCCTCGTCCCCATCCCGCAGGTCCACACGCAAGGAGTAGTCGCCGGCTTTGGTCAGGCTGTGCAGGGCGTCGTTGCCTGGGGGTGGGGAATGTGTGCTCATCGGGGTCCTTGTGTCCACAGGGCCCCCATCCCTTCCCTGGTCCCGCAATCCCTATGAGGCACTAACCCAGCCAGAACTCCTCGGAGATGTTCCCAAAGCCACGGGCATAGTCCTCCCAGTCTCTCCAGAAGTCAGTTTTTCCATCCATGCGGCGCTGGAACACCTGGAAGCAGGTGGTGGCACCATCAGCCTATGGCCCCGGGCACAGCCACCCTGCCCTGTGCAGACCCCTGGGCTTCTGACTGCCACCCACCAGCCAGCCACCCCCATCGGTCTCCATGTCACAAAAGACGTTCAGGGGCCGCTCGCGGTTGCCGTTGAGGAAGATGGTGGTGGTCCTTGAGGTGCTGACCCCGTTCTGCATCTCCTCCCCACAGTCCCGGGGGAAGGGGATCCGAAGTCCACCTGGGGAGAGGAGAGTGAGGGTCCAGTCCTTCTTCCAGATTCTAGACGCCCACTACACACTCAGCCCCAACCTCGGGTCCCAGCGCCTGAGTACCAGTGGTGAAGGAAGTGGACACGGGGGGAGTGAAGCTGCGGTCCCACATGGCCCGGAGCCACGCGCTATAGAGGGTGGAGGGAAAGAGGCCGTGAAGCTGATGAGAGGTGACCCCTCCTGGGAGCAGGATCTCCTGTGGAACAGACAAGGGGCAGGTCAGGGGAGAGAGAGGTGGGCCCCACCCGGGAGGCAGAGGCAGCACTTCCCGGACTGGAGCCCAGGGAGGGAGCTGGCCAGAGTGGCAGGGGTGAGGGCACCTGGGTCTGTCCACCAGGGGTGTTGAAGCTGAGCAGGTAGCCAGTTGGGGGGACTTGGGGTGCGGTCCAAGTGAGCAGGGCTGTGCGGGGGGTCACCTCCTTGGCCTCCAAGTCCTGGGGGGCCTCCAACCCTGGGAGGGGGAGGAAGAGAAGATGGAGATGAGGCCCATCCTGGCGCTCTCACTTCTTCCCTGCCCCCCAAAGCACCTCACAGACCGTACCTGTGGTGAAGGTGATGCTGGCTGGGGAGGTGAGGTTGGGGCCCCGAAGGCCATGCAGGGTCGCCGTGTAGTTGGTGTGGAGCACAAGGCCTTGCAGGGGGTAGTCCACGGCGTTGCCAGGGGCTGAGTCCTGTAGCGAGGGGGCTGGGAGGGCGGGTGCGGCATCAGCGGCTGCCCTGCCGGAGCCCAGCCTGCCCTCTGCTCTCCCACCCTGACCAGTCCCCTCCAGAGGCCTCAGCCCTGCTCACCTCCTGGGGCTGTGACCTTGATGTCATAGGTATCCACCGGGGCCTGGGGGGGCTGCCAGAGCAGCAGGGCGGATCCTTCCGTCAAGTTCAGTGCACGCAGCTGGGTGGGGCCGTCAGGAACTGGGAGGAGGGAGGGGGCCCAGAGCTGTTCCCTGCTGCTCTCCCCACTCCTCGCCTTCCCAAACTCTGCTGGACCTCTCGTCTGCCATTGGCGCCTCCAACATCCCCTTTCCCTTTCCCCGTTCACTCTCAACTCCCACCCGTGCCCGCATTTTCTCCCGCTACTTCCTGCCCAGGGCCCGGACTGTCTCACCTGTGGTAAGGAAGCCTGTGAGAGGCTCACTCTCCTCAAAGCCACGGACGGAGACCACGGTCACGCCGTAGCGAGCGCCTGGGACGAGCCCCTCGAGTTTCTGGGTCCGGGCTCGGCCATCCACCTGGACACTCTGTGGCTCCCCTGAAAACACACCGGGCTGGGGAGGCGGCCAGGGAAGCAAGGAGGAGCTGCAGGGTGGGCAGAGCGCAGGGCGCAAGAGGAATGGGGCAAGTGACACACGGGCAAGAGGGTATCACCTCCATCTGCCAGCTGGTAGGAGACTTTGAAGCTGTCCACTCTGGACGGCGGGGGCATCCAGCTGACCTTGGCTGACGTCTCCCCGATCTCGCTGAACTGGAGGTCACGGGGGCGCTCCAGAGCTGACGGGACAGATGTGCCAAGGAATCATGGTGAGGGCAGAGGGCAGGGAGGCTCCTGCCCCGGGCTTCCCAGCCTCCTTCTTCTCCCTGGGCCCCACGGCCTCCGCATGTGCTCACCACCCCGCCTTTCCTCTAGGCCTAGAGATGGAAGCCGCTCCGCAGACTCCAAGCTCGTCACCACTCACCAACTTCCCCTCTGGCTGAGGCACTAGGTGCCACCCTAGGGAGTACAGAGACCCCCTACTTTGGGGCAGCATGTGTATGTGCCCAGCATGGGGCCTTACCTGGGCTGAGGGTCCGGGCTGTGCCCTGGATGCCGTCGGCCTTGTGAGGCCCGCGCAGCCCATACAGCGTAAGGGTGTACAGGGTCCCTGGACTCAGGTCCCAGAGCATGGCCGAGCGCCGTGTCCCTGGCACCGTCAGCTCCCGCTGCAGCGGGGGACGTGGATGCAGCTCCAGGGTGCTCAGTGACGGGACCCCAAAGCGGAGCAGGAAGGAGTCAAAGGCCTTGGGTGGGGCCTCCCAGCTGAGCCGCAGTGAATTGGTGGTGACATCAGTCACCGACAGGTGGGACAGGCGGGGCCCTGGCTCTCCGGGGGTCTGCCCAGCAGGAGCTGGCCCTGCAGAGTGGGTGAAAGAAGGCTTTGGAGACTGAAGCACACCAGCTAGGCGACCTGGTGCTAGATTCCTTCCACCACCCCACCCTGGCGCTCATTTCCTCATCTGCAAAATGGAGCTAACGAGGGGCTGGCATCCACGGCTCGGACATAGTGACGACATGTATGTGTGGAGCCGAAGGCTGTGCACGCGCCCCTTCCTCCCTCCGTGGCGCCCTCGCGGTGTTCCTTCCCCATGGTCACCGCTTCTGGGTGCCCCCTTTCGCCTCTTCAGTCCCAGACCAGAGGCAGGCAAGGCCAGGCCCTACCCTGACGGTACCTGTGGTGCCCTCGGCTGAGACGGGCCCCAGGCGCTTCCCTTCACGCAAGCCGTAGAGGAAGAACTTGTAGGAGGTGCTGGGCTCCAGGCCTGACACGAGGACCTTGTTCTGGTCGCCACCCACGAGCAAGGCCTGGGGCTCCCCACCTGTGCTCTGATACTGGACCACGAAGGAGTCAAAGGGGCCCTGGGCCACGCTCCATGAGAGGCGCAGGGAGTCCGGGGACACGTCCTTCACTGCCAGTGCCCCTAGGCGGGGCCCTTCAGAGGGCTCGGGGGCCTCCGTGGCCAGGTGCGAGGGTGCTGGCATGTCCTCTTCTGGGGCTGCGTGGGAGAAGCCCAGAGAGAAGCTGAGCGGGGCTGGGGGGGGTGGGGCCCTCCCACTCCATCTCACCCTCCAGAGAGGTGATCGGGGCTGGCCGAGGCAGGGGACCTCACGGTCCCGGCCACGGCAGCGTGGAGAGAAGACAGGGACTGAGGCTCTCCTAGCATCTTCCTTCTCTTGAATCTGCCACAACTCTGCTTGGGCACTGACTCCTGCCGCCCCTCGGCCTCTCTTGAGTGCCAGCCCAGTGGCCCCATGACCTCTCTGTGGGGCTCCTTTGCTGTCTGAATCCGGTGCTTGCTTTCTCCGTCTTCACCCTGATGTCTGAGTGCGCCCCACTCTAGATGTCTGCACGGACCCTGTTCCCTCCCCAACCTGCCAGGGCGCCTGGTGCCATGGCTTGAGGCAGGACTAACTCAGTCCCTCCCTGAGCTCAGGGCACGTGGTCCTCCCTGCCGAGAAGAGCTGAGGATGGAACTGGCTGGTGAACTCGAAGGGCGCATCCCGCCAGCCAGGTCGGCCCCGCCACCACCAGGCTGATTTGAGGTGGGTGTTAGGAAATCTGGAAGGGGAACTCCATCAGTGCAGCCACTCCTGTTGGTTTCTATGACCCTGGCCTGCTTTGTTTTCCAGTAATTTTCCATTTGAGAAAATGCTCCTGACTCATCCACGGGAGGGGGTTTGCCCTCATCTGGGCAAGGCCAGCATGCTAGGAAGTAAGAGCCGCCCCAGTAGAGTAATGGGGAGCAGCTGGCAGCACTGGGGCTGGGTGGGGGTCGCAGATTAGGGACCACTGCCAGGGCTTTGCCTTGCCACCTGTCCTGGCTCCTGCTTCGGACTGACCCCTCGATCACGCTGGTTCCGAGGCTCTTCCTCCCCTGAGCCCCGTGCAGGGCCCCCTTACCGCTCTACCTCGCCCACTCGTGCCAGGCCTTCAGCACAGAGGTGTGAGGACACCCACTCAGGCCGGCTGGCTAGGACCAAGCAGGACAGCCTCCTGCTCACCTGTCATTCCCAGGACAGAGACGGGGCCCAGGTGCTGTCCTCTGAGGAGCCCATAGAGCAGAAACTTGTATTTCCTGCCAGGCTCCAGGCCCTCTATGGTGACCTCCCTCTGGTCTGCGGCCACAGGCACCACCGAGGGCTGCCCATCTGTGTCCCTGTACTGGACCACAAAGGAGTCAAAGGGGCCCTGGGCCACTGTCCACAAGAGGCGCAGAGAATCCGAGGTCTCATCTGTCACTGTCAGCTCCCCCAGGCGGGGTGGGCGCTGCCGCTCCTTCTTCAGGGGAGCTGTAGGGAGAGCGGGGGCGAGGGAGAAAACCTAGTTAAGAGCTGCCTTTACCTCAGCCCCGGCAGCTTCTGGGGGGAGGGAGGGTCAGCCACCTGGGGAGACAGGCAGGCTGCTGCAGCCCTGCCTTGTACGAAGGAGCCCAGTTTCCTCCTCTGGAGGCCGCTGCCCAGACTCCTTCCTGCCCCCACTCCCCCACTCTGAGATCAGCGTGCAGAAAATGCATAAAAGAGCACCTCATGAGAGAGCTGCGGCTGGGATTGCTGGAAGGGCCTCAGTTTCCCTCTGACCCCCAGTCCCCCAGAGCAGGAGTGTGGCCAGAGCTGAGAAAGGCTCCCAGAGGGTGTCTGGGTTGTCAGGGAGATGCCCCCCAAATAGTCAGAGCTGGGCGGGACAGCCAGCCAAGCTCACGGGCTCCCATTGCCCAGGCATAAACTCACCCTCACTCACCATCAGCCTGGGCCCGCCTTTCCACCTGCTTCCCCAGCTCTGCACTCACAGCACTAGACCAGGGCGGCTGGGTCGGGCAGGGGGAGAAGCCAGGGGCAGAGCTGAGCGGACAAAGGGCAGAGCAGAGCACAAAAGAGACTTGTCTAGGTGGGTGTGGGTACTGACTGATGGGGGTTGGAGAAGCCTGTATCCAGTCTCCACAATGAAGGTCTGGGGAAGAGAATTACGGAGCCTGAGAGCCCCAGGCCCCAGCTGGCTGTGCGCCCCATCCTTGTCTGGCCAGGGTGACTCATGGTCCTGGAGGTGGGGTAAGGGTCAGTGACCCACCTCCATCCCTTCCTCGGGGGCTGAGTACTGGGCACAAGACACCAGATTTTTCCATAGTCTTTTTGCAGCCAAACCCTCCCATATTTTCCACTTCTTGCCATAGGGCTGGAATGAAGGGAGGAAGATGTGAACATTTATTGAACCCCAGCAGATTTTAGTCATAACCGTCATGCAGGTGTGGAAACTGAGGTTCAAGGAAAAGAAGTGGCCTGCTGAAGGCCACACAGCTGGCGGTCAGAATTTGAACACAGGCCTGCTTGGCTCCAAAGTCTGAGTTCTTCTTATTATACTGCTAATCAGTGAATGAAGGAAATAAATGCTTGGAACAGTGCCTGGCATTCAGCAGGGACTCAATAAATATTTGCCTTTCGTGTTAGGATTGTCATGCCAAGGCTGAAGGGAGGAGAATAAACTTTGCGGGCAGGCCCCGGGGCCAACTCTGGGGGCTCAGATGAAAGGAAGCTCTGGAAAAAGGCGGGGGGGGGGGGGGGGGGGGGGTGGGGTGGAGGCAGGGCCAGGGCTCACCCGTGCTGCCTTCAGCAGAGATGGGGCCCAGTCGTTTCCTGCCTCCCAGCCCATAGAGCAGAAACTTGTATTTGCTATTGGGCTCCAGGCCGGGGATGGTGATCTCGCGCTGGTCTGAGGCCACAGGCACCACGTGGGGCTGCCCGTCCCTGTCCTTGTACTGAAGCACGAAGGAGTCAAATTCGCCCTCGGGGACCGTCCAGGAGAGGCCCATGGAGTCTGGGGTCACCTCCGTCACTGTCAGCTCCCCCAGGCGGAGAGAAGGTTTAGTGTCTGGGACTGGAAAAGAGAGAGGTGCATGGAACGTGACAGAAATGAAGCCGACAGAGCCTCCTCGGGGCGCTAGGGCTCTGGGAGCTGGTTCTGGGTGCTGGGAGGGGGTGACCAGGTCACATGTCAGGAAGAGGGAAGGCAGAGGAGTAGGGATAAAAGAGGAGCCAGGCAAGAAAGCACGTGTCCCTCGGGATGTAGGAGGAGTAGGATGGGAATGAGGGGGTAACGGGGTACTCAGGACCTGGATCTCACTGGACCCAGTAAATAAATGGGTCTGGAGTGTGGAGCACAGAAACGTGAAATTCCACAGGGGAGTGGAGGATGGTCAGGGGGCTCCAGGTTAAAGGCGGCCTCCAGCCCTCACTCACGGGTCTTTGCGTCTGCAGAGACGGGACCGTGTTGTTTCTCATCCTGGAGTCCGAAGAGTAGGAACTTGTACTTGTGGCCCGGGGCCAGACCCGAAACCGAGACCTCTCGGAGGTGGCCACCCACGGGCACTGCCTGGGGCTGCCCCTGCACATCCTTGTATCGGACCAGGAAGGAGTCGAAGGGGCCCTGGTCCACTGTCCAGGACAGGTGCACTGTGTCTGAGGTCACGGCTGCCACAGCCAGCTCCCCCAAGCGGGGTGCCACGGGGGGCTCTGTGTTCAGGGAGGCTAGAACAGAGCAGAGGAGACTGTGGTCAATGGCAGGACCCTGGGCCAGAGAGGGAGGGCTGTTCCCTGGCTATGAAATGAACATTTGTAGCAAACTCTTCTAACTGCTTAACATGTCCCAGGCATTGCTGCAAGCAGTTCACAAACAGTACCCTTAATCCTCACACAACAGATGAAGTAGATGCTTTTATCCTTATCACCCTCATTTGACGGGCGTCTGCGGCACAGAGAGGTTAAGAAACATTTGAAAATCACACAGCGTCTTAGAGCAGGATTCAAACCTAGAGAGCCTGATTCTGTAGCCACGCTCCGAGCCACGAAAATGCTTGGTTAGGGAGACTGAGGAAGCCACACGTGAACAACTGAGCAAGCCTGAGCTGCCAGATCGAGAAGACAGGAAGAAAGCCGAAACGCATGAGGCACAGGCTACTTGCCCAGCTACCCTGAACACACTGTCCATCAGCCGCCACTCAATTCAAGGATGAGGCGGGATCGTCAGCACCACGTGAGAAAAGAAAGGGACCCAGAGGCCCATCTGTGAGGAGTGCTGAGATCCAAAGGGGGAAACAAGAGAGCAACAGAGGGAAACCTGGGAGTCAGGGCCTGCTCCCTCACTCACCGGTCACGCCCACGGTGGACACGGGGCCCACACGCC